AAGAACCAACACAGTGATGGAAGTCAATAGTACAAAACTGCTTCAAGTGCAAAAGACAAAGAGTGAATACCGTAAAAATACAATGCAGAGCAGAAGAGAAAACTGGCAAAAGAAGGCTCTCCATGGGCAGTTTCTGGGAAAAATTGAAAGCAAAGTTGACAAAGAAAAAACATGGCTGTGGCTCACAAATGGAACTTTGAAAAAGGAGACCAAGGCCTGATTCTTGCAGCCCAAGAACAGACAAATAGAACAAATGCCATCAAAGCCAGAATTGAAAAGTTGACGACAGATCCCAAGTGTAGACTATGGAAGGAAGCAGACGAAACTATAGATCACGTCCTCGGCTGCTGCAAAAAGATTGCACAGACAGACTACAAGCAGACCATTGCTCTGATGATTAATTGGAACTTGTGCCACAAATACCATTGCCTGTGACAAAGAGCTGGTGGGATCTCAAGCCAGAAAATGAACACATCCAACTACTCTGGGACTTCCGAATTCAGACTGACAGAGTTTTGGAGCACAATACTCCTGACCTCATGATTGGGTTAAAAAACCAAGTATGGATTATCGATGTTGCCTTCCCAGGCAACAACAGGATTGAAGAGAAACAACTAGAAATAAATAAATAAATAAATAAATAAATAAATAAATAAATAAACTAGAAAAGCTGACACGATACAAAGATTTAAAGATCAAACTGCAAGGATTCTGGCACAAGCCAGTAAAGGTGGTCCCAGGGGATATCTGCACACTGGGTGCAGTGTCTAAAGACCTTGGCCAGTACTTAAATGCGGCTTACATTTAAGTAAGACTCGATGCGGCTTACAAAGGCCAAGGCCTCAAAACACAACATAACAATACAAAACCTAAAGCAAATTAAAAACAATTAAAGCAATATTAAACAACAGCAATAAACAATACACCAAGACACAATAAAACTGGGCCGGGCCAGAGTAATGGGTACAGAATTAAAAGTGCTGATGTGACAGGTGATATGTAAGGATTATAGGGTAAGTGCAGTGTGCAGTGTGCAGCAATCTTAATTCTAATAAAGTGCTTCTGGGACTTGTTATTGGAGTTTTCCTATTCTGGGAAGGCACATCGGAACAGCCAGGTCTTCAAATTCTTTCTGAAGACTGCCAATGTAGGGGCCTGTCTAAGATCTTTGGGGAGGGTGTTCCAGAGTCGGGGGGGGCCACCACAGAAAAGGCCCTGTCTCGCATCCCCACCAAACCAGCCTGAGACACAGGCGGAATCACGAGCAGGGCCTCTCTGGATGAACGAAGTGAAGGGCCTGTCTAAGATCTTTGGGGAGGGTGTTCCAGAGTCGGGGGGCACCACAGAAAAGGCCCTGTCTCGCGTCCCCACCAAACGTGCCTGCGACACAGGCGGAATCACGAGCAGGGCCTCTCCGGATGAACGAAGTGAGCGCGTGGGTTCATAAACGGAGATGTGGTCACGCAGGTAGGATGGTCCCAAACCGTTTAGGGCTTTGTAGGTAAGCACCTGCACCTTAAATTGGGCTCGGAAAATAAACGGCAGCCAGTGCAGCTCCTTGAACAGGAGGGTTGACCTCTCTCTGTAAGGAGCACCAGTTAACATCCTGGCCGCTGCCCATTGGACCAATTGGAATTTCCGAGCCGTTTTCAAGGGCAACCCCACGTAGAGCGCATTACAGTAGTCCAATCTAGAGGTGACCAAGGCATGGACCACCCCGGCCAGATCAGCCTTTGCGAGGTACGGTCGCAGTTGGCGCACGAGTCTCAATTGTGCAAAAGCCCTCCCGGACACCGCCGACGCCTGAGCCTCAAGCGTAAGCGATGAATCCAAGAGGACTCCCAAACTGCGGGAAAAGGAGAAGAATTCCTTGCACCATCAAAAATGGACAGTGGTCTGGACATTTGGTCCAATAGAAGCCAGACTGAGTTTAAACTGTGAGACATTGTGTTTAAACGATTGGACATTGCCCAAAAGAACACTTATGTCAAGAGAAGAATGTGGAACTGTGTGGGGTGTATTGGCATGTTGTAATTTGAGACTGGGTATCAGGGAAAGGAGAATTGGAATTGGGTAAAAGAAAAAGCAAAAACCTTATTCTCTACAAGGGCCAGACCAAATAACACATTGCATAAAAAAGTGTTAATGTAGAAAGGTAATGTATGTATAATGTAGTGTAATATTTTAAAAATGGTTAACCTGTTTTATTGCAGACTTGTAAAATGTATGGTGTCATTACAAACTGTATATGTTTCATACAACAGATATAAGGTATAAATATATTATATTGAAGTGGGTTAGGTATGTAAGTTTTGCAATAGGCAATGAATATTTACAAAGTCACTGTATGAATATAGAAATGTTTAGATAGATTGTTTATAAGAAAAATGTTAGAGATGCGAGACTTTGATATTGCATACATGGATGATGTTGGATAACTGTTCAAAATATGGTTTGTATATAGTTATATGATGTTGATATCCAAATTATTTTTGACCATTCTAGTTGGTAGAAAAGTCAAAAATAATCCCTATGGTTGGGAGGTGTGACGATGTGTAACTTTTATTCATATGGTTGTGTGTTGTTTAAACAGTGGTTTAGGGATGGTAAGTATGGGAGATTATATTTTGTTAGAGATGGTGGCTAGTGGCTTGAGCTGAGTTGCCATAGCAACGGGGGCGGAGCCAACTATCACTTCACGGCGCAGCTTTTTGAAAGTGGCAGTCTGTGGCCGGTGAGCTACAGGAAGGGACTGATTTCTCTAGTGGGAGAAACAGGGAATTAGTCAGTGGCCGGAGAGCTACTGAGAGAACACTGAATCTCTTGGTGGAGATTCAGGGAATCAATTGGTGACCAAAGTGGTTGCAGAGAAGGACCCGGTACAGGGGGTTGTTGATTCTGAATGAAGAATCAAGGTTTGGCTGGGTTTAAGCCTGTTGTGCCAGCTGTGAAACCTTATGAAGTGTTTGCCTGAGTTTACTCATGAAACCTTTCCAATGTATCCATCAAGATTTGTGCCTCTTTTGAAGAACAGTTATACATTGTTATACTCCTGTTAAAATAAACTTGTTACTGTTTTCCTCAAGCCTTGCCTGATACAGTTTCTTCTAAGTTGAACAGCCTGCAATACTAAAGTCAGCCAGAAACAGTCCCCATATAAAATAGTTCCTAGGCTGATATTGATCGTTGCCCGGCTTCCCTCATAGATTAGGTGGCAGTGGGTGCTTTACCACGCGCACCTTCACAATTGGTGGCATTCGGTGGTATTAAAACGGTCATCGTTACAATTGGTGGCAGCAGTTTAACGACTCCTTCACACACGGCCTCAGGAAGCACAAGCCTAAAAGAATCCCACAAAATCCCACAAGCAGATGCCTCAATCACCTCCTCTGGCACTGTGATAAAATTGGAGTCGAGCTCAAGGCGTATCTGAGCACCTTTGCCTGCAAAATGGTGTGTGAACTCGCAACTCCGAGTTGTTGGGTCGTCAAAGGTCTCCTCCACCACAGGTGGCTGAAGGAGTTCCCCGACGACCCGAAAACAACTCCGATGATCTATTTGCTGCAGACGCTATACGGGGAGTCGTGAAGGACTCCTTGGCTACCCGTATAGCCACGGTATACGCTCTAAGAGAGGCAGTAGCCCGTGCTTGATCAGACACGTCCCAAGACCTCCTCCAAATGCGCTCTAGCCCCCTCCTCGTATGCTTCATTACAGCCAACTCCTCGGTGAACCAGTGAGACGGCATGTCATGATGCAACGTGATGGGGCATTCGGGAGCTATCGTATCTATCGCCCTGGTCATCTCCCTGTAATAATAATAATAATTATTATTATTATTATTATTATATTTTATTTTATTTTTGACTTGCCTCTCCTCAAGGTGGGTTACAGACTGAGGTTCTCACTTGCTGGTCCTTCATAGCTATGGGACTTCAACTCCAAGAGTTCCCTGACCACTGTTGTACTAGCTTGTTGTACTAGCTGCGGCTTTTGGGTGATAAACTCTCAATGAGTCAATGGCTCTCTCGTCCACGTTAGAGTGAACATTCTGGTTATTTCCCTAAAACTTGTGGGATATTTTATTTCTGTACTAAGGATTAAAACAGAGCTTTCCAAACTGTGTGTTGCGACATGTTTGTGTGTCAGCTGCACTGTGCAGGTGTGTCACATGACCTCTGAATCTATGAGAAATAAGCAATAAATCATATATTGGCTTTTGTGTGATATGTTGTATCTCCATACCTTCCGTTATGACAATTGATGTCTGTACCCATACCTCTGACAAGCAGTTGGTTTAACCTTTGGTTTGCCATTAAACAGAATGCCTGTGTCGCAAAATGATGCAAGTCTTAAAAGTGTGTCATCAACATGGAAGGTTTCAAAAGCTCTGGGTTAATACTTTCTTGCTGAAGGAAAACTCATAATCCTTGTTGGCAGATTTTAGAAAGTTACTTTAAAAAAGTAATCACTTACACTGACTTGCTCAGCCCACAAAGAACGACACTAGAATACTACAAAACACCTCTAAGTGGGTGACAATGCATACCTTGTAACATCCAGTTGCAGTTATGCTACAAAAGGAGTGAGGTTACTCCTTGTTATAGTTATGATTGCAAAATGAGATTCGTTCCAAATGACTTTTTATTTGTAAGAACAGTATGATCCTGCATTCGTAGAACCAGTACTGAACATTTCACCTCCCTGTATCCAACAAAATATATCCTGTCTAGGAATATTCCTGGTCCTCCAATGGTATGTTTCCACCAGAGGTTACCACTGAGTCACACTGGAGGACCTAGCAAATTCCTACAAAGGTATACCTCTCTAGCAATTTTCTATGTCCTCTAATGTGACTCTGTGCTAACTTCTGACGGCAGTTCTACATTTCAATAGGGTCTGCTATCATCCAACTTTCTTGTTTCCACGGTAAATTCAGGAACATTTCGCCCTGTGCATATGGGGTCACACTGCAGTTTCTTCTTTAAGGGTGCACTTACTTGGGCAGTCAACTTCATCACTCTCATCCTCGCAGGTGGGCCATCCATCACACTGCCAGTTCAAGGGGATGCACTGGATGGAACCGCTGCGACAAGCAAATTGCCCCGGGATACAGCGCAGCTCTGCGGACAACAAAAAAGACCACAACTGAAGATTGCAGCAAAGGTATCTGTAACTTGAAACCTTCTGTTTGGGAACTGAACTACTACCCCCTTTCAGCATCCAGTTTAACCACTTTTATAGAGGAAACTTCCATTCTAGACTGGACACAAGGTAGTACAAAATGTGTTACCTCTTAATACTAGGACTTATTTAATGAATTAATAACTAAATTCTAGAGAAACATTAATGCTGAACTTCCACTAGAAGTCGATTGTTTACATCTGATTCAGCTGCCCGACTCCATTGGCAAATTTCCCACATAACGAATTAACTTGATTTTATTTTGTTAGCTATCGTTGTTCATCAGACAAACAGTCATTATTAACCATGTCAAGATCACATTCACAGAACAACATTAAATGTTTACCATACAACTGAATTCAGTTCAGGCTAGCAGTGGGAATCCACCAATATTTGGGAGCTTCTGCACCATTCGTGCCATTTTTTCCTCTAAAGTAAACCAGGGACGTTTCCCAAACTAGCATTAATCAAATGCAGATCCATGCCAGCAGCATAACGGCAGTTAAGCCTTGCATGACATAATCCTAGATATCGAAGGCAAAAGAGAACTATTTTTATGTTTTTTAAAAATGCTTACAGTTGCGTAACTGTAATGAGTCTCCCCACCCCTGCATGAAAATGTTTGTAATGTTATTTTATTTCAATATTAGGTGTCAATGGAAAATCAACACGGATGATCCTTGCACACAAAAGTGTGCAAGATGGCAAAGACTTTCTCGATATTGTGAAGCGCTTTATCGTAAGGAGCACACAAGCAGCTCAAGCCAGAGGGAGGAAATAAAAATAGGCTTGTCCTGCTCAACACACCGCCTACTTGGAATGAACATTGAGGTCACAAAGACAGCTAAGAACTCGGTCCCTGCTAGACTACTAGAGACGGCAGCATATGGTACGATGCAGCCAAAACAGCTTTGACCCATTTAGGGGTGTGCGGGGTTTTGTTTCTCTAAAATTATATCCAACACGAGGAATGCATGACATTAAGCACAGTATTCCTATACCAGGAAGACTTTAAAATCAAGCAAGGCTTTTAGAAAAATAATTTGCTTTTAGAAGCAAAGGAAAGCTAGACTGCAAGTCCTAGGAATCATGGCACCAACACGCAAAAGGGAGGAAAGGTGGACAGCAGAGATTACCTTCACTTATTAAGAATGCTCGACTTAGGCTCAGTTTTCTGCCCCCGCATGCACCAACCAACACACCTTAGGGGATTTCCAATGACTTCTATAAGGCATCTTACTTCTTAGGTTCACAAGATTCGCCATCCACAGAACTTAAAATCAATTTACAGTCAGCCCCCGCAACAGTGAAAATCCGTAAATTAAGAAGAAATAATATTTTTTCATTTATCTAGGGATCTCTAGGTCCTCCAGCATGACTCTGTGATCAACTTCTCTTGGAAATTGACTGCAGTGTTGCACTGGAGAACCCAGAGATCCCTAGAGAGAACATTTTAATCAAATCTGCGAATAATCAAACTCACAAATGTAGAGCACCAACTACATTATCTGTTAGCCTTTGCTGGTTAAAAGTGTCAACAGACAAATGAAATGTGCTATATTTGAAATCATTAAACACCAATGTTATTTTTGAGTCATGAGTAACAGTTCTGTACTCAGACCGTTCCATTTTTAAGGAATTAATAAATGGATTTTGAGGATTTCTCTTAAACACACAAAAAATTAAAACATGAGAACACTGACAAATATTTTCATTAATATTATACATTTCTCTTTACTGATTTACTGTTAAAGCCTTACCACTAAGACCAAAGTTTCCCTACAATTAGGAACCTAAGGGCCAACCCTAGAAGTAGAGGGACCTGGACCTTAAATTAGGTAAGGGTCATGTCAAACAAGAATGGTGCAGGCAAGTTCCCATAGCATCTTTCCAGACCTCTATATCTTGTTAGCTTTCCTCCTTGGAAATGTCCTGCCTCCCAAAAACCAACATTTCTCCCTCTTTCATTTTCACTGCTCAAAAAAGAACAGGGAATAGATAATCCAGGATCTACTTAGAAAGGTCCAGGCAATGTAGAAGAATTGTGAACAGTCAGCCCTTCCACATGTTTGGAGTCTGATTTTTGTGGATTTGATTATTCACAAACTTGAGGTGAAATGTTATTTCAAGGAAATTCTAGATCCTCCAAGACAATTCTGTGGCACCTCAGTTACACTGGTGGACATAGATATTTCTAGAGATGTGTTTTCTTGGATTTCAAAAAGAGAAGGTATTACAAAGCTAGGTAGCCACCAAAGAAAAGTCCCTTTTCTTTCTAGTTCCAATCCAAGAAGATCCTACTGCCTTAGCTTAATGTCCATCTGCCTAGCTTTAAACCCAGCAATACCTCTTCTCACAAGCCTTGCTTTCTAATCTCCACCTACTCCTTCCCTTCTCATTTGGTTTCCCTCATGGCCTTATCTTTCTCAGTATTGCAAACCTGAAGGTAAGGTCTGCTGAGGCACTGCTATTGGAGGTGGCAAGCTATTAAGGCACTGTACACAGTAATAACTGCACCCTGCTCTCCTCTCAAAAGCAAGGCCTGGGAAAAACCTCAGTGCATGCTCCACAGGCAGAAGTTCAAGCGAGAGCATCTCCAGTTAAAAGGATTTCAGGAAATATAGCCTCTGGCCAGAGATCACAGGAAGATGCTACCAGTCAGGGCACATGGTTGGCCACAAAGGTATTATAACTCACTACAATGAAACTGCTTCAGTAGATCGCTCTCAATTGATTCGGACATACACACCTGCAATTCTAAGACACACCTCATTTTTAGAGATGTTTATATGGAGGGGAAATTGTGTCTTAGAATCAATGAAATACAGGCTTTGTTTGTTTTTTTACTTGAGAGAACATCTCTCCTGGAATTTCTAGATCTTCCACTGGAAGCTGGCCAGAGAATTACATTGGAGGATCCTTGAGAGAATATTTTTAATCAAATCTATGAATAATCAAATCTGCAAAAGCCACAACCACAAATGTGGAGCGATGACTATACATTGGCAATATATGGTCACAAGCATACAACTAATAGTGTGCATATGGGGAAGGGAGCCCGCCAATAATTTTGAACCTAAGTATTGCTTCAAAATTAGTCCCCTGAAATCGCCACAATTGCAGCCCTTCACTAACTGCAGTGGATGAAGAATGAGTCTATGAAAACATACTTTACAAATTTCTTTCTCCCAAATAGTCTCAAAAGTTTTAGAAGATTCCACTGCAGAAGGATACGGACTAACATGTAGTCATGCCTTTGAATACCACCATAAGTGTCAGATACATGTTTAAAAATAATTTTGTAAGCAGGGTAAGGTCCACACTCAGTTCTTAAATTGAGAGAATCGCTCATTGTAAACATGTAGAAAATGAAAGATGTTGTACACAAAATTCTTTGGTCCACCAAAGCTTACTAAGCATACAGTCTTTACTCAAAGTTACGTGAATCATACTGTCAGGACAGATGAAAGAACCCTTGCATGTTGGTTGATCTGATAGCACTGGAGAAAAGGCAGATATCAATATAATTAATTTTAAAAAAGCACAAAGTGGCTGGAATGGTAATACTAAAGCTACTGGATAAAGGCAGCACTGAATTGCCTTTTGAAAAAAAACAACTTTTTTTCCTTTGGGACTACACAATAGCCTGAAATGAAGTCTTCTCACCCAATGGTGAAAGGTTTTCCTAAAATGACCTTGAAAGCCAACTTAAAGTGAAAGAACTGTAGGATGGGAAGACTCTGTGTCCAAAATCTGCAGCTCATAAGGATCTAAATGTGTGTGCTTCCCAAGTATTGACCTATTTTATTAAACTGAAAGGAAGTCAGGATAAAAGTCAAGTTTGGATCTGAATTCTGGGAGACCGGGATTCGAAGCTAGGCTCAGTCACAGAGACCAACTAGGTGACCTTGACTTTAAGGCACATAATAACAGTCCCCAAAAAAGAGCATGTAACTAAGAGCTATACAGGATGAATAAGAAAAAAAAGATCATTTTGTGTTCTAACCTGCCTCATGACTCAGGACAGATATGAAAAAATAGCTTTTGTTTCTGTTCCTAGATAAAAAGTTCGGTTTACCACATCTTCTACCTTCTCCGAATACCTGGACTATCATGTGATGCACTCCATCTCCAAAAGCAGCCACAAAAATGTTATCTCACTACCTACTTCTAGCCACAACAATCAATCCAAGGCCATACATTCAGGAGACAAAACAGAGCAGAGCTGTCAGCAGTGAAACACCCTCAGATCCTAATCCTTGCTTGCCCAAACAAAACTGCTCCTGAAATCAAAACTCCTCCACCATAAGGCAGCTACTGCAGGACCAGTGTTGCTGAAAGAGGCGGGCATGCAACGCCGCAATCTTGAAAACACAAAAGCTTCCCATATTGTGCCACCTCAGTGCTCAGTTTCACCTGTTTTATGCTACATTCAAGGACTCCAGAATGTACTCTGCCCATTTAAGAAGTCTGGGGAATGTGTATTCTTGTAGTTGAATATTAACTTTCAGAAGACAGAAGCATTTCAACATATGCCCTTGCAGCTCCAAGTGTGCTGAACAGCAGCACCAGGAGCCGCATGCCTCTGTGCCCACTTTCGCAAAACTACATAGACATACACAAGAGACAGAGATACTCCTCATTCAAAAATGTTAGGTTTTAAAGGTACCAGGAAGGAGAGAGAGTCCTGAAGAATGACAACACTATCAATATTAATAATGGAACTTCCACCCCCTCACCGTGAAACATCATGGAATACCTTTTTTTAAAGGTCCTAGAGCAGTGGTGTCCAGGCTTTGATCCTCCGGGTGTTTTGGAGTTCAGCTTCCCAGAGTTCCTGACCATTGGACAAGCTGGCCAAGGATTCTGTAGGTTGGAGTCCCAAAGACCTGGACAACCAAAGGTTGGACACCACTGTTCTAGAGCAACCTTCTCAAACGTGGTGCCAAAAGGATTAGTCGACCAAATTTTCCAGAAGCCTCTACTCACAGATAGTAGTTGATCTGGAGATTGCCAAGCTCTAGGAGACTGCCTGGGATCTTACGATTTAATGTTGTCCTCTGAGTGAACCTGATCTACTCAGGCCACAGCCAAATCAGATTTCAAGATTTGCTAACATGAAACAGAGTCACAGGTACAGCAGAATGACCATTCTACAGATATGTTACATGGATACACAAGTAAATACCCCAAAAAAGCTCACAAATCCCCTCAGCTAGCCAAAGCAGGCCATCAACAGCTGACCCAAGCCCTCCCATGGGCCACAGATCCTTAGATTATTATTGGGCATCTGAACCTCAAGAGCCAGTTCAGTTGGGCCTGGTCTTGATCTGACCTTAAATAAGTCTGTCTCTTGTTTTAAATGTGCCTGAAAATGTGCAGATTGAATGACAAACCAATTTTCTCTATGGAAACAGAGCCCACTATCCGGCGTCCTTGGACTTTCTGTGAGACTAGGGAAAAACATCCTTATCAAAAGGATGAGGTAACTTGGTAGAGCTCAGGCAGCTGTGGAATTGTTTGTGCAAGAAATTGTACTTGCTTGGTACAAATTGTCAGGTATTTATTTATTTATTTATTTACTTTACTTGTATACCGCAGTTTCTCAGCCTAACGGCGACTCAACGCGGTTTACAACAAAGGTACAACAATCAACAATATACAATTTAAAACCACAAAAACATAATACACAATATTGACACAGCAATAACAACCCAATGCATCTCATAACTAAAATCATGATCCAGTTTCGTCGTCCTTATTACCATTCCTGTAATCATCACATTCATTGCACCGATTAACCAAATGCCTGTTCGAACATCCAGGTTTTTAATCTTCTTCTGAACACCATCAGCGAGGGGGCTGATCTTACCTCCATGGGAAGGGTGTTCCATAGCTGAGGGGCCACCACAGAAAAGGCCCTGTCTCTCGTCCCCGCCAGTATTAGATGTCCCCTTAATTTCTTAAAATGCACCCATTATGTAAGGCTTTGTAAGTAGTCCCGATGCAGTCTGGGAGTTAAGCACATCATGGCTAAACTCAACATTCTTCCAGGATCAAACACAACATATTTGAGTCAAGAAAACAAGGAAGCCCCCAGAAAAATAGGGGCAACAAATGGGCTACAAGTACCTTGCCTATGCCACTCCAAGATCTCCATGCAATTCCTTCAGAAAGGTGAATGCACCCGGGCTCTAATAATTTCACTGTTGAGCAATGGAATGAGTTAAGAAATTGGCAAAGTTCAAGGGAGTTGACAGCAAAGTCAGCCCCTCACATCCCATGCATTTCCCATGTCACATCTGGAATCTAACACATCTGAGCCTGAGGCACAAGGATTCCTCTCAACAGCTCTCAAATCAGCAAGTTTTACAACAGACATCCCAGCATTCTAGCCAGTCTTATCAAAAAGAATGTCAAACTGGTATTGTGAAATTTAAGGGTCTGGTTGAGGAGTCTGAGACAGAATTTTAATTCTTCCAGCTGTAAAGAAAAATATCTTCTCTAACAAACACATACATACATACATACATACATACATACATACATACCATACATACATATATACATACATGACATAAATGGAGCTTTTTCAAGAAGTCTTCTTTTATAGGAAATTTAGTGAAATGCACTGGAGCCCTCCGAATTTGCCTTCAAAATGAGCTAAACACATACAAAATCAGACAATTGAAAAGATGGGGCATAAAGGAAAGAAAAGGTGTGCATGCAACAAAGAACTTTCAAATAACCTATTTTCCCACAAAACCCTGCATACTAAATCCCATTTTTGAGATTTATTTATCGTGTCATCAGCAAACAGACCATTGTATTACATTTCTAACAGAACAAAACAAATAAACAGATAAAAAAACACAAATTTTGCAAACTTGGTAGTTGATTAAGTGTCCTTTGACCAGTATCTGGCCACTTGGAGTGCCTCTGGTGTTGCCGCAAGAAGGTCCTCCATTGTGCATGTAGCAGGGCTCAGGGTGCATTGCAGCAGGTGGTCTGTGGTTTGCTCTTCTCCACACTCGCATGTCGTGGATTCCACTTTGTAGCCCCATTTCTTAAGATTGGCTCTGCATCTTGTGGTGCCAGAGCGCAGTCCGTTCAGCGCCTTCCAAGTCGCCCAGTCTTCTGTGTGCCCAGGAGGGAGTCTCTCATTTGGTATCACCCACGGATTGAGGTGCTAGGTTTGAGCCTGCCACTTTTGAACTCTCACTTGCTGAGGTGTTCCAGCGAGTGTCTCTGTAGATCTAAGAAAACTATTACTTGATTTCAGTCGTTGACGTGCTGGCTGATACCCAAACAGGGGATGAGCTGGAGATGTCACTGCCTTGGTCCTTTCTTTACTGCCTGCTACTTCCCGGCGGATATCAGGTGGTGCAATACCGGCTAAGCATTGTAATTTCTCCAGTGGTGTAGTGCGCAGACACCCTGTGATAATGCGGCATGTCTCATTAAGAGCCACATTCACCGTTTTAGTGTGGTGAGATGTGTTCCACACTGGGCATGCATACTCAGCAGCAGAGTAGCATAGCGCAAGGGCAGATGTCTTCACTGTGTCTGGTTGTGATCCCCAGGTTGTGCCAGTCAGCTTTCGTATGATATTATTTCTAGCGCCCACTTTTTGCTTGATGTTCAGGCAGTGCTTCTTGTATGGACCACTTGGATGCCACAAGGAAAGAAAGCCTCAAAACCATTTTGTCCCAACACAGGCATTTGGAGCAAGGCTGCCTCTGCGCAAGAATCTATACTGAGCTACCACAGTCAAAGGTTAGCAACAGGCCCCTCGGCTAATCTTCTTTCGGAGCCATCTCCTGTGTCCACCCCCACAATCCTATGGCAAGGCATTCCATAAAATTAGACACCACATGAAATACTTTGTTCTGTCCTGGCTCTATTGTTAATCCGTTTTATTAGGTGACCCTGAGTTCTAACAATCTGGGAGAGGAAAGAGGGGAAGACATGTATTAACTTTCTCTACCCAACTTGTTATTTCATAAACTTCAACCCTCCCTCATACGCAAAGCATCTCAGATGCCGCAAAACGCAAGGATGTTGTCATCTACACATAGCAACCATTCAGTCATTTTTAGAATCCAACCTAGGTCCTCATCAAGAATTCGAGGTTCAAGTGTTATGTTACCGAAGGATGGGGTCACTTTATGCATACAAAACCAACATATTTGAAAATCACATATAGGCCTCACATTGTATATATTTTATGGACAATAACAAACTTGTATAAAATGTGGGAGCTTAAGAAAAGAAAGGGGTTTCTTTCTTGTGTTTTTAAAAGACTTATCTGAGGGTTGGCAATATGTGTGTGTGTGTGTTTAAATAAGACTACTAACAAGATCATTCGATCCTGTTACAATCTGCCCAATGCAGGCACTCACCTGAAAGAAGTCTTGCCAGAGTTAGCCGTGCACCTGCAATTTGAAATGTAAAAGAAAACTTACAAAAGGATGGAAGACTTAATGAACCAATACAAGGATAGTCAACCTTCCCAGGGGAAAAAAATACAGAGCTAGGGCATAGCTGAAGACACAAGGTCCACCTATTTCAGTCATAAAGCATTTCCAGGTGTCAATATTAAGAACAAGTATTCACCAAGAACACAACTTTTTCCCCCAGAGGTAAGTTGTTCTGGGAAAGAGACAGCAGCATACAGTTCGATCTATGGAGTCAAGTCCTCTATCTTCACACCACTTGCCACTGTGGTCTAGAAACTGCATGTGTACGTATATGACCTGAATAACTGCTCAAGAACATCTCTTTTTGTCCCTATATATCAGTTATACATACTACGCATTATGCCTCAACATCTACTTTGCTCAGGAGGCCCGTAGAGAGTCATTGCTGTGTAGTGGTTAGAGCCCCCATTGAGAGAGCCATGTTCCAAGTCTCACTTAGCCACAAAATGAGACTAAAGTTAGACCAGTTGCTTTCTCTCTCTGTTCCTGACTCAGCTCAAAAGGTTGCACTAAGGATTAAGGAGGGGAAGAAAACCTATGTTAATACACCATCTTGAACTCAGGTATGAGAGAGAGAAAAACATTCTAAGCACACTGACACAAGTCCTGGTGATTTACAGTACTCCAAATTAGCCTGCTTCTTATGGCGGCCCATCAAAAGCATGCAACAGACCATCCTCACTAGGAACTGGTGCTCAGAGGTAGACTGACTCCAAAATCACATCTAGCCAACCGCTGTTTATCTCCAACACAACTCTCCTCTCCTACAACAGATTCGCTAGGTAGCCTCAGGTGAGTTACTATTCTCATCCTCAGCCCCACCCCTCCATCTGCAACTGCGATGATAATCTTGCCTTTTCCTACAGAGCAGCTGAAAGCCCTTTGAACACTTGAAATTGTACTACATCTCAAGAGTTTTATTAGATTTATTTATTTAATGTATATCCTGCCTTTCTCGCACCATGGGGTTTATGGCGGCACCAACAAAGGGCCCCAAAGAACTGGGCAAAGTATTTGCAATGCAACCAACAATGCTTCAAGGAGCGTGAATTTTTTTAAAAAGACAGCTTCTGCCACCCTTCTTCCTCCCCTTCAGTAGCTCTGAACCTAATTTCAACATATGTGGTGAATGTCTACCACTATTTTAAAACAAATATCAACAAATGAATTTAACAAGAGACAACAGAAAACATCTCCTTGTAAACACTATTTTTAAGTAAGATGAAGAAAGAGGAATAATTTTTCAGCTAGGCAATAAAACGTTGCATCTCTTCCATTCTGTGGTACAGCAGAGGACAAGCTTCACTCTTCGCTCTTCAAATGCCTGATGTTGGAATCCAAAGACATATCCATGTTAGTCTGGGTCAGCTTATGCTGCAAAGTTCTTTCTCTTAGTCTTAAAGATGCCACAATATTCCTGCACATGCCAATGCCTGATGCAACTGTCGAAGGAATCAAGTATGCCAACTCATGCCACCCAACCTTATTCGACTGGCAGAAATACAGAAACACAAAGAGTTGTTTTCGGATCACAAGCCAATCCATTGAAAATGCGGGATATGCACTTGGATTGTTGCACTTTTGCCCTTTGTTCCAACCGGCCCAGATGCAAGACCAATAAGATCAACACAAGAGGCTAAAGAGATGTGCCGTTTTGGCGGAACATTGGGATTGGCAAGGACATTTTTAGCTGCGTGAACTGAATCAAACTCAGCAGTAACCCCCACCCAACCTCTGCTGAAGATTTTGCACACTTCAAACAAAGAGACCTTTTCTAGAGCTGAAAGTAGGGAAAGTACTTCCAAGATCCCAAAGTATGAAGGAAAGCAAAGGGGGGGGGGGGGATCCTCAGCTGCAAAATGAAACAGAGCTTCATGTTACGCAACACAGGAACTTAGACCAAATGCCATCCTTCCTTCCTTCTGAAATATTGGTGCCGCTCACAAAAGGAGTGGCTTATTGCATGCCAAGCTGGCAACTTCAACAGAGGCAAAATGCTTTCAGTCTGTGTGCTGGCACAAGGAACACAAAATCAAATGAGAGCCATCGACTGTATAAGTCTACCTTGTGTATAATTCAAGGGACCAAAATTATGGATTTTGATATGATAAATTGAGGGTCATTCTGCAGAGAGATGAAAGCACCAATGTCACTTCAGAAGGCCATCCATCCCTGGCCATTTACAAAAAGGCACCACAGTTGAGAATGTAGTGAGATATCAGTGCTTCTTTTAGGTTCTTTGGGGATGGACTAAGCTCTTGCCTTTCGCCACTCTATTCAGAGAAGGGAATAGTTCCTTTTTTTGAATAAGAGTTAAGGTACAGTACTCACAGTGGCCCATGGATAAGGCAAGCCAAGTTTTTTTGGATTGATTTTGTGACCAAAATTTCTAGACTTATACATGAGTATAAAGGTTACATTCAGCTTTGATTCAAAATTACTTAACTATACCTAAAGTGGGCTTAGACTTCTATCACTTATTCTAATACTCTCACTGCTAGGCTGTATCTTAAGGGTCCCCAGATATTTTGAACTAAAACTCCCGTAGTCCCCTTACTAGTGGCCATGCTGGGCTGGACCATGACAGCTTCTAAGCCAAAAGAGGGTTAAAGTGACCACACCACTCAGTATCCCAACTCTATATACACTGAAGAATGACAAACCAGCTCACTTTCAACCTGGAAGAGCCACCAAGGACCGTGTGCAACTGGAGTTGTTTTCTCCCTCCCAACAGGAGGGAAAGAGTGACGGCAAGTTGACACCTACCTCCTCCCGGGCATCGTGTGGGTGGTCAGAACAAAGCTGCCTGGGCACCCATCCAAGTCTGCTTAGGCGGGGGCTTAGGCGGGGGCTCACCTCACGCTTGGAATGCTCCTCAGCAGTCAATACACCAGCTGGGCTGTGTGTGTGGGGGGGGGGGTGCTTCATGCGGCGCAGCCCTTTGACAAAAGCAAACCGTTTATTACGTCTGTTCGGAGCCTCACACAATGCAGCCCAGGCTGGGTGCAGTTCTCAACAAGCATTTGCTCTGAAGAATCCTTTGTTGCCACACACGGTCCCCTAATCCAAAAGGATTTCACATCGATGTTATAATACTAAGTCGGATTTGAACATATTTATAGTCATTTTTTTAAAAAGACTGATTTTGTCATAACCATTTAGATGAAATCGCCATCTCTTGCCAAGTTAGGAAAAAACGTTCAAATGCCTCCACTGCAGCATACAGTCATATCTGGCAGCAAAATAAAGCCTTCTAAGATCCCTGTTTTCAAAAAACTGCACCAGAAGCATAACTATGGCCAAAAATAGCCTTAAATGTTGCTTTGCTTCTATTTGAAGATTCAACACCAGCTACTGGACCATAAATGTAATTTCTGTAATTTGTTGAGCCAACATTCACCACATTACTTTTTACTGGACCAGGTCCACAATGCTGTTTTCCAGGCAGTTTTGAAAATCAGGACATTCCCCCATTCCGTAAAATAGACTGGCACTTTCGGACATGTTTGGATCACTGTGCACTTTTGTTCTCAATTAAATCCGGTGTTTACAGACACCTCTACCCAACTCTGCAAAAGAGGCAGCTACATTTTTGAGTCAAAATTAACCAAAGTAGCCCCATAGCTGGCATGTACTTTCTCCTCCCCTTTTAGTCTATAGAAGGGAAGGAGATCAGATATTTTTGCTTTTCTGCACACCAGAGTTTGTCATTGCTTCCTAAAGCAGCAAACTACAGGGGTGTGCACAAACAGGGTTAGTATCCTAACATGTGGTTCAATAAAACCATTGTTTGTACATCTGGATGAAATGTCTAATGGTGGCTTGTGTCAAGGCAACCCTTTTTCTGTGAGCTTCTGGCAGCTTAAACCCCAGACAGCTATGGATTCAGACCCTATTGTTGCTTTCCCTAGCAATGCCTTGTTTTAGTCTGGTCAACGGCCCAGCCAGGCCTAGCAGTTGGGATTGTGTTTTTCAGTGCTGTTCACAGGATTGTTGCATTTTTAGAGAAATATCACCATGACAAAGCTTTGGAAAATTTCAATTTTAGGACTTATACCCGGTCAAGTGGAATTACCTTGGCTGACGTGGTGTACAGTTAATAGAAATAGCCTTCGCTCATTCTCCCTCTTGCTTTACACTTTTGTTTCACAGCTTGGTGCTTCTTTCATTGTCCAAGGTTCTCCATCCTTTTGTTCCTTTTGTGCTGGCAATTTCGAATCCTATCTAAGCGAGGTCACGTGGGTTGAAGTGCAACTTAGCAACTGCTGGTTTTGTTGTTGTGCTACACCTTCAGGTCGACTCTGACGTAGGGCAGACTCTACAATAGGCATTATTCTGTGAATATTTGCCACTGCCTTTCACTTAGATTGAGAGAGTACAATTTGACTAGGCCACCTACTAGGTTTCCATGACTGAGAAAGAATGTAAACGTTTGTCTCACAGAGTTTGGTCCAGCACTCCAACCACTATACTGTCTTAGCTCATAACTTGGTCATACTTTTGTTATTTTGTCCTATTGTATTTTTGAATGTAGCCACATCTTTTCCACATCTCTGATTCTAAGGACTGCCTCTGGTCTATATCTCTGGCCATTACTGTTTAAAATTCTTTTTTCATGGGTCTAGAGAACAAGCAGTTGCAAGCACCCCCAATTATTTTCATACACAAGACATCTAGCACCACATAATCTGCTACCCCAAAAGTCCCGCTAGAGCTTCCAAGCACCCAACAACTAGGATATTCCCTTCCAAGCATCAGAAGAGATAATCTCCTATGCTACACACATGTGAGAATGCCTTGATCTCCTCCAAAATGCACGTCTGAAAATATAATAGAGGCAGTTGATGACAACCATAAATCATGTCTGCCTAAGTAAAGCTGGTCAACATTTGCGAATCCCTGCGCACTGAACACCATACAGCTCCAACAGAACTGAATCAAAAGTATATCTAGAT